ACCGCGCAATGGTGAAGATGCTCGGGGGGTTCTCAGCATCACCAGCACCTCGCGCCGCTCCTGGTCTCCGTCGCAGCTGGCGGCTCCTGGCCTGGCGAGCGGGTCGCCGAGACCTTCGGCAAGCTGGGCTCTGTCGACTGCGTCTGCCCCAGGTGCTGGCACGAGGTGGAGGCGCCGCTGCACAGGGTGTGGACCTGCGATGCCAACCGCGGGACTAAGGCCTACGACCTCAGCGGCCACCTCATCGCGAGGGCGCATGCTGAAGTTGATGTCTTTCCCTGCTTCTGGCTTCGTGGCACCCTGCCCGCGGGCTGGACACGGGTAGCTGCTCCTCCTGAGGGGCCCGGCTGGACCTGCATCGGCGACGCGCTAGGCCAGCAGGGCCTCGGCATCGGCACCTTGCACGAGCCCCATCGCGCTGTTCGGCGACGCCAGCGGCGGGCCCGACTCGATGCGTCCTCGGCCTCGTCGGGTCGGCATCGCCGCGGGTCGTGTTCGCCGCGAGGGCACCGAGGTCGATGGCGCCATCTCCGACCGCCTCGCAGGTGCACGGCAGACGGTTCATTTCCGTGAGTTTCGCGCGTTGGTGTTGGCAGCCCTCGGTTCGCACTGTCCCACGGTGTTCTTCACGGACAGCTTGGCGGTCTGCGAGGGCTGGTGGCGGCGGTGTGACGAGCATCCTGCAGACGCTGGGCAGGAAGCCGACCTTCGGCTCGCCCTCCGCGGCGCTTCCCAGCACCGCCCTCGGAGCGACTTCACCGTCGAGCACGTGAGCTCGCACCTCGCGCCTCAGGAGGCGCAGGCGCGGGGACTGCCTCAGGAAGTTCTCCGCGGCTGACGTGCTAGCTGGTCCCGCCGCATATCGTGGGCGACTTGATGGCGGGGTGCGGCAGCAGCTTCTGACCACGGAGGTTCTCGCGACCCAGGTCCGCTGGCGGTTGCTGCGGGCCACCATTGACGCCTCGGCAGCCGCCGAGGCCCGCGGTCGTCCCCGTCGCCGCCCTGGCCGACGTGTGACCCCGCCTTCCGTCGGCATGGCCACCGCCTTCAGCTCCGCGCACGCGTTGTACGACGACGGGACTAGCTGTCGGAGCAGCCGCACGTCCGCGGGACACGCCAGTCGAGCAGCATGGCTGGCCAGCTCATGCAAGGGGCTGGAGACTTGTGGTGGCGACTGGGCCCGTCTCGCCTCAGTTGGCGCCCCGTTGCGCATCGGCGACCAGCAGGTGCACGAGTCACATGCGATGTATCTGCGGGCATCCTTGGACGCATGGGCCTGCCTGGCATGTGGCCGCTATGCTGGGCCAGGGCTGCGCGCGCCTAGGCGAGGCCTGCTCGCCGGCAGGGCAAGGACGTGGGCCGAAGGCAGGCGTCACCTTGTGCTCCGACGACGACGACGGGCACTTCGCCGAGCGCGCCGTCGACGACGATGGCACCTCGGACGTCTTCCAGGTGCCGCGTGGGAGGGGGGCCCGTTGGAGGTCACGTTGCGGGGGCTCGCCCAGCAGCCCCCCCCCCGACCGGAGGTCGAATTCCGCGGGCGACGCTCGACTTCGGGAACCAGACGGTGCAGATCGTGACGTGGCCAGCTTGGCCGCGGCGAGCCGACCTCGTGCACTCGCTGATCACAGCAGCCACCCCGGGCCCCACGGTGGACCCCCGCGAGGAGGGCCTCGCGGCGAGCCCCGCGGCGCGCCGCCCATCAGCGCAGCAGCCGCCGCTCGCCGTCGCGGAGCCTGCGCGGCGGGTCGCTGGCAGGTCGGCCCGCCGCCGTGGCGGGTGGGGCGGTGGGGGCGATCAGGCTGTCGAGGAGGAGCCTAACGTCAGTTCGCAAAGTCCTGGTGCGCCACTGCGGCCGCCAGGCTCAGTCGCCACGGGCGTCAGATCGCAAAGCCCTGGTGCGCCATTGCGGCAACCAGGCTCGACGTCGCCACGCGTGCCCGAGCTCGACAAACAGGGGCCTGGACGTCGCGGATGACGTGGAGGTCGTAATGCCCGTGGGCCCGCCGAGCGCCGCGAGCCCTCGTCAGGGGGTCGCCGCTGGCGCGAGGCGCGAGCGCGCCGCCGCTGGAGTGGCAGCGCGGGCGGGGTCCGACCGCCACGAGGGTCCGACCGCCACTAGGGGGGGGGGGCAGGGGAGCTGCTCTGCGAGCACCCGAAGGCCCCCCCCCCCCCCGAGGCAGGCGCAGCGCGCGACCGCTCCATGGGCGCGCACGAGCAGGAGGACGAGAGCTTCTACGACGACCTGGAGGCCCCGTGCCAGCGCAGTCTTGGCCTGGATGGCGACGGCTGCGGCGCGGAACCCGTGGAGGACCTCGAGGCGCTGGGCCCGCGTCGCGGCGGGCCCCTCGGAGCCCTTCGAGGAGGCTGGCGGCCTCGAGCTGGACGCGGTGGGTCTCGCGAGCGGCGTCGCGGTCTTCGCGCGCTGCTCAGGGCGCACTGGCGAGGAGGGCAGCGGTGCCAAACCTGCGCTGCGCGGTCGAGCCGAGGTTCGATCCGTGCGGGGCGGGGGCCATAGTGGGCGCTCCAAAAGGAACTCGCGAAAGCCCCCGCCCCGCAGCGGCTCTCGCCGAGGCGGGGCCGCCTGCCTCGCTCGGGGGTCGGGGCGCCATGACCTCCGAGCCGGCGCCGCTGCTGGCCGAGGGCCTAGGCGCTGCTGGATGGGCTGCTGCGGGGGCTGCTGGCACGGCGCGCGCGGGGCGCTGTTACGAGGAGCCACGGGCGGGGAGGCAGGGTGGCGCCGACCAGGCCAGGGGAACCCAGCAATACGGGCCGACGGCTACGGAGGGTGGGCTGGCGACGGCTGCCCTTAATGACATTGATCGCCCGAGGTGCGGCGCGCCTTCCCCGCGGGGCCCCCGTCCGCCGCTGGGCCCACTGCGCCGCGCAGCCCCCCACCTGAGAGAAGGTCGAGTCCCGCTGGTGGTGCTCGATTTCGGGGGCCCGATGACGAGGCCAGCCTGGCCGCGCGGCAATCCGACCCCATGCGCTCGATGATCGCGGCGGCCACTGTGGAACCCAGGGTGGGCCCCCGCGTGGGCGACCTCGCAGCGAGCCCTCGGAGCACCTCGCGGTGGTCAACTGCCCGCGGGCGCCCGCGGGCTACGAGCCTCCCGTGCAAAGGGGAGGGCGGGGGGGCGGAAGCATCCACTGCCGCTTCCCCCGCTGTCTCAGCCCCCCGTCGCTCGCGACTCGATGGCCGCGGTGGTCAACTCGAGGCTGGCGACTCCGCGCTGGACGCGGCGAACCTCGCGAGCGACATTGAAGTCCTCGCGCGCCGCCCGCCAGCGCTGCCGCCGCCGCTCGCCCTCGCGAAGCTCGTGCGGCGGGCCGCTGGCACCCCTCCCCGCCGCCGTGGCGGGCGGGGCGACACTCGGGCGAGGGGCTGAGCCACCGCGCCCCCCCGTCGGGTGGGCCCCTCGCCCAGCGCCGCGCTCTGACGCGCCGCCGCGCCCGCGGCCCGCGGGCGGCCGCGCGCGGATCGCGGGCCCCGCGTTCGCGTGGCGGTGTGTTCACCCACTCACTCACTCACTCACTCACTCACTCACTCACTCACTCACTCACTCACTCACTCCTTCTCCTTCTCCTTATCCTTCTCCTTCTCCTTCTCCTGCTCCTTCTCCTCCTCCTCCTCATCCTCCTCCTCCTCCTCCTCCTCCCCCTCCCCCTCTCAGGCCGAGAAAACGTCTGCTCTTTTTTTTGTTTGGGGGGGGGGGGGGGCAGCGTGAGGACGCCGCTGCGAACCGATCGACCCCCGAGCGCCAGCGGCGGTGTGTGTGTGTGTGTGTGTTTGTGTTTTGTGTGTGTGTATGTGTGTGTGTGTGTGTGTTTGTGTGTGTGTGTGTGTGCAGCAGCCGTGCGCCGCACCTGGCGTGCCGTCCAGCTTTGCCCAGACGACATGGCGCAGAGGCGGCCGCGACCGCAACCGCGGCCCGAGGCGCTAGCATTGCCCCGCGTCTCCGCTACGGGCTTTCCTCCTCCCCATTCTTGAAGAAACGACGACTTGAGTGGCAAGCGGTTGTCTACAGTGTGTTGATTCGCTCTGCGTCCCGCAACTTGTTGGAAGTTCGTCTGGTTTGAGGAATATCGCCTCGTCGAGTTCCTCTGACCCGCGCTGGGCCCTTTTTGACTTTTTGACGGCATCGTCTTCCCTGTATGGATTGTTGGCTTCTGTCTTCGCTCATTCCCCGCCCCTCGGGGTGCGGATTCGACGTGGCCATGCCACAAGCGTTCTTCGTGCATGCGCCTTCTTCTCCTTCTCCTCCTCTCTCTGACGCGTGGCGCGCTGCGGGTGGTACAACAAAAGCGTGGCGGTGGGGGCGAGGAGGGGAGTCGGATGTGGGCAATGATAACGATAACGATGACAGCCCAGGGCGTCAAATGAGGCGTCTGCGTGTGATTGGCTCAGGGGGGGGATCGGCCCCAAGTCGCAGGTTGACTGCCGAACGGCACCCTGCCGAGGAACGCGCCGTTTCGTTGTGAACGGTTTGTCGCAGATCCTTCAGCGATGATCAGTCGATGCCAGGCCGATGTCGGAAGGATAGGGTGAGGAATGGAACCAACAGCATGCTCTCGCGCCGCCCGCTCTGGTCTTCAAGGGCATCTACCAGGGACGCGGTTGGCGATCCCATAGCAGATTGGTTGCGTGTGTGTTGTGACTTCGTTCTATCGGACCTGAATGACTGGTCGCTTATGTGCATTTCTAAGCCCACTGTGTTCCCACCGTGCAGGTCCGTGCGCCCTCACCTTTCCAGCGGGCGCATCGGAACAGTCGTTTTGAAACCGGATGACCCGTGCGGAGGGGACTTGGGACGGCATGGTTATTTTCAGCACTGAAACGTCCGCAGTGCGTGCTGGGTTTGCTCTGGGCCCTGTCCCCCCCCCTCCCCGTCCTTCCCTGCATCGGGCACAGTAGCTCCTGATCGTTCCCAGGGGCACCTCCGAAGAGTTCCCCCCCGCCCCCTCCCTCCAGCGGGCCCTGGCCCCAAGCCCCCGGCGAGGACATCGTGAGACGGTGCAAGAAGACGGGCCTGCCGGCGCAGGCCTTCGGCGCTGGGGGCAGCGAGGCGGGATCCAGGCGGCGGGCGTTCCCCGCGAAAAGGAAAGAGGCGGAGGGAGGACCCGAGCATACCCAGGAGACGTCAGCGACGCTTCAGCACAGCCTTCCTTCCCGAGTCCCTTCCCCAGAAGTCCCTGCACTGCAAGCCCTCCATGCCTCTGCCAGGAGCACCCCCTGCCATTCGGGCGTGAGCCACGTCTTGGAAAAGAGCAGCCCTGCATCCTTCAGCGAGTTGTCCGAAGCGAAAGGGTATACGGATACGCATAAAGTTCAACGAGGTGTCCAGTGATATCAGCGAGGTGTCCAGTGATAACCTCGACTTGAAAAGCGGCCGCCCTCATCCGTGCAACTGTTGCACAAGTGTACACATCTGGCTATCAATCCGGAGGAAGTCTCGTGCGAGAGCCCTATTGCGTAAAGTAACCGCCGACCAGCCGCGCAGCTGTGACATATGTTCAAGCTCTGGACAGTTATATTCAGGAGGTCTCAAGCGAGAACTCGGTGTTGAATACCGTGCACCCTCGATCCTGGTAAGGCTGTGCACTTTTAAGATGAATGCGCTCGGCGCTGTGACGAGAGCCACATTTTGAGAACATATCGCCCTCCCGTTTTGAAGCGGCTGCAAACCATAAGCGCAAGCGCGGTCGGCGCGAGGGCGAGAGTCCCATTTTCGAAACGAGCCGCCCTCAATCTTTGAACTCGTTGCAGACACATCGGGTGCGAGATCCCCACTTTGGACAGAGCCAGCCCTTCGTCCTTGAAGCCAGCCTTTTTAAGACGGATGCGCGTGGCGCTGATGCCAAGGCCCCATGTTGAGAAGGAACCGCCTTCCGTCTGTGTAATTATTGCCAGTGAGGAAGCTCATAACTCTGACGAAACGCATGGACCGCCCCACCGATGCGCCTGGGGGTGCGACAGGGAGTAGTTGTTTTCGCGCGAGAGGGGTGGTGGATGAGGAGGAGGGGTGGAGAGAGGAAGGTGTGGAAAGGGGGGGGGGGGAGGGAGAGAGGGAGGGAGGGAGCATGAGGAAAAGGAGGAGGAGTAGGAGGAGATGGAGGGAGAGGAGGAGGAGGAGGAGGAGGAGGAGGAGGAGAAGAGAAGAGATGAGAAGAGAAGAGAAGAGAAGACAAGAGAAGAGAAGAGACGAGACGAGAAGAGAAGAGAAGAGAAGAGGAGAGAAGAGGAATGGAGGATGGAGGCAGGAGGAGGTGGAGGTGGAGGAAAAGGAGGGAGGATGCGCAGGATGAGTGGAGTGAAGTGGAGTGCGGGCCACAACAATGCAGTCCAACATCGAGAGTACTTTGCAACTCCCGCTGCCTGTTAAGCATTGGTCAGGGCTCTCGGCCAGAGCCACAGAGCAATACGGCGAAGATGTTCCTGCTGCCTCTCTGAGACTGCCCGAGAGCCAGTCTCCTTGAAGGCCCATTCAACTGTTTCGTCTCATAACGCTCGCAATTGCTGCAATACGATGAGACGATGGGCTTATAAAACACGGTGCGATGAGAAACTTGCGCCCACCTCCCACCGGAAGTGCAGTCCGACAGGGCAGTGACATATATATATATATATATATATATGAACACCCCCAGGCGTGAGCGAACAAAACACGAGAACCGCCTCCATTCGCGGAGGGTGGAGGCGGTGGCAGAGCCCCCACTTCTCTGGCAACGCTTAGGGCCAAGGTCTTCTTCCATTGATGAGAATGGGAAACAGACAAAATGAAAGGGGGAAGGGAGGCGAGGGGAGGGATTGCTTCATTGTGTCGTGCTCGCGGTCAAGGGGCAGGCTGCGGCTGAAGCAAGGTTGAGGGTGAGCAGGCCTGCTCGGAGAAGGCGGTGCCTGACAAACAGTGCCTAGTCACGCTTGCCGCACTTTCGCTCGGACATCCCCTGGAAGCCGAGCCGAAAACACGGCCAGGCCAGCCAACCTTAGCCACCGTCTTCCCAAGACCAAGGACTGGGGGCACCTGCTCACGACGGATATCATCTGTTCCGACATGGAATTCCTCTTCGAGCACAGCAATCTGTATGGACCACTGAGAGGCCCAATGCTGCTTCCGAGTCCAGTCCCTGGTGGCATTCTTGTCCCAGTTGGTTCAAGGTTCTATCCAGAACACATTTGCGACAGCCGGCGTATCTGTGACATAAACGAGGGCCCCAGCGGTGTGGGAAATAGCCAAGCGAATACAATAACGTTCACAGCTGGGTGCAGTCCTGAAAGGGGCCAGGTATGATCGTTCCAGCTTGAGAAGTGTCGTGGCTCCGCATGGTGTTGACTAAAACTCCAATCCTTCGAGACTTGGGTTCGCGTTCAGCTGGACCCACCTCCATTGGCATCACGGGAAACAGTGATCGGATGCTCGAAGGACCGCTGAAAACCAGGACTGTATGCTCGTAGCGCCGTGCTTGCAATGACAGCCCACCCAATAGAAGTGCAAAGCCCTTCCGCATCGATGAGTGCGTGCCAAAAATCAGCACCGAGCTTTAAGTACATACGCTTGGTCCTGATGCGCACGCAGAAGCGTTTCCCGCAGTGCCGTTACGTAGGACGGCGGCAGTGGCGGCATCCCGCGCACATTCTGATGACAGGGGCCAGATACGAACGTCTTCCCCACGGCCTGACGGCCACACTCGAGCGAACAGTGCCATTTACGCTCACCTTGCTGCTACCAGATCGCTTCGCCAACAGCCGACCTGGGACGATTCACCCCTGCCACGACCACATAAGCAGAGCCTCGATTAAACAGGAAGGTCGACTGCTCGATCCCCTCGCCAGGGAGGCGCTGCATGCCCGCGGGGGGGCATGCGGTCGATCTCGTGCCAGGCTCCAGTCTTCGCGGCCTTCGTGGCTTTGATGACTCGATTGGGGGGCAAATCCAACAGCTGTCTGTCGTCGACCGCCGAGAGGATTTCGGCGAAACGGGCATTGGCCTCGCGACGGCTCACAGGGTTAGGGACTCCAGAGCTTGTGCCAGCATTTCGCCTTGTGGTCCACACTGCCACTATGGCGCAGAATACCTTACCCCTTCCTCGCCAACTATATCGACGTAGGAAAGTGCTTCCACATAGATCCGTAAGGGCTTCGCCCCCTGCCGCCTGCCCCCTCTCTCGGAGAATGGGCCATGGAAGAGCTGAGTCATGAGGCCTTGGCGCTGTCGTGAAGCAGTATCGAAACTTCATGCGAAGCCGATTCGCAATCAGCAAAACCAACTGATCACAAGAGGGGTTACCACACCTGGCGATTGGTAAGACGTGTATGGTTTACGGGCTTGGTTACCACACCTTGCGATTAAAGGGCCGAGGGAGTTCTCGCAGTTTGGGTTACCACGCCTTGCGATGGATGTGCGTGAAGGGTGGCACCGAATTTCAGAAATGTGGCAAATCCCCTGTGTTTTTGGACCCTGACCCCGCGGATCTGCGTGAGGGGTGGCACCGAATTTCAGAAATGTGGCAAATCCCCTGTGTTTTTGGACCCTGACCCCGCGGATCTGCGTGAGGGGTGGCACCGAATTTCAGAAATGTGGCAAATCCCTTGTGTTTTTGGACCCTGACCCCGCGGATCTGCGTGAGGGGTGGCACCGAATTTCAGAAATGTTGCAAATCCCTTGTGTTTTTGGACCCTGACCCCGCGGATCTGCGTGAGGGGTGGCACCGAATCTTAGAAATGTGGCAAATCCCATGTGTTTTTGGACCCTGACCCCGCGGATCTGCGTGAGGGGTGGCACCGAATTTCCGAAATGTAGCAAATCCCATGTGCTTAGGAGGTGCTAAATATTTGGTTTGGGCCTCCCCCCCCCTCGCGCGGTCAATCAACTAGTTACAGTAACCAGCAAGAAGCAGAACTGTAACACTGGAAACTACAAGCTACAACTGGTACAGGAAACTGCGAACCCGCGCCTACAGCCTGGTGGCCCCACAAGGGGGCCGGCGGATTTCTGGAGGACCCCTGCTGCAGGCGCAGCGGTGATCCACGACCGCACCACCGCTCAAGAACTTTTGTGTTCCCGCCGCCCGTCTTGTGCAGACCCTCGCCAAGCAACAGTGGCCACATGGCCGAGAGTAACCATAGACGCGCGCTCGGTGACCAATGAGATGCGATAGTCACAGAGACCGTGCTCCGTCGAAAGAGTCAAGGCAGACAATCGGGACACGCTGTTAGGACTATCGCGAGCAGTGTCACGGCAGGCCTGGACGAGACCAGGTTTCTGGATCGCACATTTCATGTTCAACCGATGGCGATGATGAGTTTGGAGAAAAGCGTGCGCTCGGGCTCGCCAGCACATCTCGACGCTGCGAAGCGGTTCCTACCGACTCTTGTTAAAGACATGCTATTTCGGAGTTTTGAGGGGATCCCGTCAAGGACGCCCAGTGGCAGAAAGACCGCGATGCTGGAATGCCGCCGGTTCCACAATCCCGACCCATCGCCCATGTGAGGCATTGGCCCACATAACATGATGCCCGCCGACAGAGAGTGCCATGAGTCACGGACCATTGGCCAAACGTTCTTGATAGCCTCCAACTCGGACGTACCTAACCTTTCCCTTAGGTCCTTCCCAAAGTCCCAGACATAATATGACAGGTACGGAGGGCGGCGGAGGATGGCGCATGGTCTGAGTCACTCAGGGCGGGAGGGCCTGAGAGACATGTTGGGAATTCAGAATTGCATGGGCGCTTGGGGGGGGGGGGGAGCGGTATCGCAAATGTCGCCAGATGCGTGGCCGACGGTTGTGGGCAATTTTCCGTCGTCGCCGCTGGGCCCCGACCGCTGAGAACAATTGTTGAGACAACGGCGCAGCGCCAAGCAGAGAAGCGCGCGAGCTCGCCGGCCTCGGCTCCGCCCGCAGTGGTCGACCATGGAGCTGTGTGAATGTCATGCTGCTCGTCTTGCAATTCGCCAGAGAGGGGAGGGATGATGATGATAAGGAGGAGGAGGAGGAGGCGGAGGAGGAGGCGGAGGGGGAGGAGGAGGGGGAGGAGGAGGAGGAGGTGGATGTGCGCTGATTTCATTATGCTCGTCCT